TCTACACAACGCCTCCATTTGTTTTCTGGGTCTCTTGCCGCTGCCCTTTAGGCCTGCAGCGCCCACAAGGGGGCGTTATCGCCTACTTTGGGAAAGGCTGAGGGCCTACCATGAAATGTTTTCCGAAATTTCGGAGCCAAACGAAACACAAATTTGATGTTAAAATTACATAATACATGCCGTTTGGAAACATTAAAAATGTTAAAATATTGTTCCTTTGGACTTTCATGATAGGATGTATGACGAATGAAATGTTAAACGCCATTTATTGGTCCGATTTTGGTACAAACAAAAACACGAAATTGAGTCCGAAATTTCGGAATTTCATTTCTTGGTAGACCCGCTGATCTAGGCTGGAGGGTATAAAGGTGAACTCCCTGTCTATGGCGAGTCGTACTTCCAATTATCGACGATGCAAGGATATGACGTATTAAATTTACGCAAATTGAAACAACTATCGACGATGCAAGGATATGACGTATTAAATTTACGCAAATTGAGTAAATACAAGTAACAATGTCAAAGTCTAGCGAAATATTTGCATTGTGATTATGTAAATTAAGGCGGTTGCGCGTGACAAATTAAATAATTAATGGTTTTATCTCAAGTCTCTTAGGCATTCACGTAACCAGAATATTTTAATTAGCATCAACGGAAAGAAACTCAATTTAAACAGCGAAAACATCAAGACTTCAAAAACAAGAAGGATCTCAAATGGATTGTATTTATTTATTTATTTATTTTGGAAAAAGTACAGCTGATTTACAGTCAATACATAATCAAATTTATATCTATGTTAAGCCATGAATCGTTTTCACATATGCATAATTACACTTTTTATTTATACTTTATTGTACATAAAAATTTACATACATGTATATAATTTATATAAAATAAAGATGTACAACAGGCGAGCTTAACTCTGTAAGAGTTCTCTTCCAGCAAACGCTGAGTGGAAAGAAGCATTAATTACTACCGGGCAGTGTGCGTACAATAAAAAGAGGAAACAGTATAGTCGTTTTTAGTAAAAAATAATAAATATGTTTACATATATACAAAGTAACTTATATACTTTATAATATATAAAATACGTACATATACATACAGAAACATAAGTTCATGAAGACAGAAGAAGATATTCAGCGATTGACTTTCACGAATATGCAGTGGAAGAGAGTTCTATATTCTTTTTATATATTTTTTTAATGGACGATAATGGAATGGTAACCCCATCCGCGCTACCGGTATACACCAGCGGGGCACCAGTGAAGGATGATAGATGAGGATGAAGCAGGTCAGTTAGCCCATCGTGACGAATTCAACAAGAATTGTTCACGATGGTTTCCAGGTGGAATCACGTGGAGGTTGACCTAATAAGGCATATTGCTAGCAATAAGGCTGTCAAACTCCATTGCTAGCAATCCCTTTCCCCCCATTCTTTTTATATTTATTGCCTCATAACTCCATCAGTTGTAAACCGATTTGGAATTTATTCTTTATCTTTTTTTATACAACTTAGAATGGCAAACAAGCTGACAGCCCACCTGATGGAAAGTGGTAACCGTCGCCTATAGACATAAGCAGTACCATGGACATAACAGACTGTACAGTCACCCATGATACCCCCCATGCGTTGTCATTCCTGAGGACTCAGGTGTTATTCCTCTGTACCCTGTAAATTCACTGTCATATCTCACCCTTCAAACCGAAACATAGCCATGCAAACAACTGCTTCACGAATACGCGTAGTTCTGCGGTAGAAACACGAACGGGTGAAGGGATACACTTACAGATTGGTCATATCGAAATTTTATGAATACTAATTTAGTTGTTTAGTTTATAAAATTAAAATGTGGAACAAAATCTTAAAGTAAAAGTACGGTAGAGCTAGATGCAAACAAGCCATTGTGAGGTTCAATGGTTAAGTTTGTAAATCAAAATAACTGGTTTTGCGACACTTGAAGAGTGTTTTTTTTGTGAAACGTAATCTTATTGTAACTAGTTATTTAAAAAACTAAAATTAACAATCACAAACATAGAATGGTCAACCGTAAAAAAGCGGGTCAAATGCGAGTCGGACTCCCCGCAACGTTTAGTACAAAATCATCAATTTTTTTGTGAAGTTACTACAAATTTACGGTTTTCGCATTTTTCCCTTTTAATTGTGCTGCATGACATTGCTTCTTGTCAAATTTCATGATTCTAGGTCAACGGGACCCTATAGGTTTTGATTCCCTTTGCGGCTGTCAAAGTATACGATATAAATGGAACATAAACGGCCGTATCTTTTGATTGCGTCGACTTAGAAGCTTGATTTTTTCACTGCTTTAAGAGATTGCAGCCCTGAGTATAAGATATTAATTTCAACTTGATATCTCCACGCGTTCCTAAGAAAAATGATCTTGACAGACGGACGGGCGGACAACGAAGTGATCCCATAAGAGTTCCATTTTTTCCTTTGGCGGCTCGCAAACCGAAAAGCAGCAAAACAACGACAATATCAAATCGAAGATCGATTTGTTGAAAGGGTGACGAATCGTCAAATAATACATTTGGCAAACAAAACGACTTATACATATTTATGAATTCCATTGTACATTAATATATTACATTGTTAAATTTTATAGCAGACAGCAAAATAATGTAGTAAACCGTTCGAGAGCATGTCAGACACGCTTCGTTATGGGCCCAGAGATTTGTTTAAGATATTATCCGACTTCACAACGAAAGAGATTCGAAATTATTTTATTATTATTATTATTTCTTTATTAAACACCATAAATACAGATAAGTACAGAGAGAAAGCTAGATGGCGCAAGTCAGACACAGTAAATACAAAAAAAGTAATCAAACAAAATGCATAATATTCTAAATAACATTTATTTTATATTTATTTCATTCTTTTATCTCTTTTACTGTGTATTATGTGTATGTTTGTATTGTAATTTGTGTGCTGTAAGTAATGTAAATAAATTATCTATCTATTTATTATTACAAAATTTCAGAATTACAGAAAGTATGTTATATTAGCGTTATTTGTCAGAGAGAGACTTTGTACAAAAGTCGTTTGTTTGGCACCTCTGCCTCATTCGTGTTTCTACTAACACCTGTGAATAACACCTGAGTCCTCAGGAATGGCAACGCATGGGAATAATCATGGGCGAAACAGTATACTCTGTTGTGCCCATATGCTCATGTCTGTAGGCAACTGTTACCACTTTCCATCAGGTGGACCGTCAGCTTGTTTGCCATTTTAAGTTGAATAAAAAAAATTAGTTGGTGTCGTGTCGTATCAAGAGGTGAAGAGACTCGCTGAAAATCGTAGTGAGTGGCAAGAGCTACACCGACAAGTGTGCAGCTCTTAAATGGATAGATAGATATAAAAAAATGCTCTTTTTGTAAGTATAAAAAACATTTCGTAGAATCAATATGGGACGAGAAATGGAAATATCATGTATGATTCATGACAATTATAAACCGCGTAGAGTCATAGCGGTGCGCGACCTTGTACCATAATAATGGTTACTAAATGTGGGTAATTTAAATGCAGGCATATTAATGCTAATAATGTTGCCAATACTGGCTGTGGTAACGCTATATTAAAGAGGGAATTGCTAGCAATGGGGCTTTTTTTTGATGGGTGAAAATAGTATGGTAGCCCGCCTGCGCTAACGGGATACGCTGGCGAAGCACCAGTGAAGGGTGATCGATGAGAATGAAAACAGGCCAGTTAGCCCATCATGATGAATTCATCAGGAATTAACCATGAGAGTTCCAGGAGGTCGACCTGGTTGGGTATATTGCTAGCAATAGGATTTTTAGTCTCCATTACTAACAATCCCTTTCCCCCCGATTTTGTTTGTTTATAATGTTGTTTGTTTAAAAAAAAAAACATTTACACACCTGCTTGTATGTAGCGGTAAATACTGTTGAACAATTGTAAAAGGGTAAGATATGGCAGTGAATTTACAAGGTATAGAGGAATAACACCTAAGTCCTCAGGAATGGCAACGCATGGGGAGTATCACGGGCGAAACAGTATACTCTGTTATGTCCATGGTACTGCTCATGTCTATAGGCGACAATTACCACTTTCCATCAGGTGGGCAGTCAGCTTGTTTGCCATTCTAAGTTGTATAAAAAAAAAGATGATAAACTCCAAAACTACACACGAGAGTGGATAAACTCCAAAACTACACGACCGATTTTAAAAATTCATTTACCTACACAAAGCCACATTACAAGTGACATAGGGTATAAAGTTTTTTCGAAATTTCTATTTACCCGTGAAAAACTGGGTCGGATCGCTAGAATATCTTCTTATATATAAAATTCTCGTGTCACGGTGTTTGTTACCAAACTCCTCCGAAACGGCTTTACCGATTTTTATGAATTTTGTGTGGATATCGGGTAGGTCTGAGAATCGGCCAACATCTATTTTTATACCCCTCAATGATAAGGGTGACCCACCCCTAAATTTTTTTTTTTTATTTCTTTGACAAAATTTTTTATTTTTATTTAAATATGATTTAGCATTGAAAAATACATACAACTTTAAATTTTCACCGTTTTACGATCAACCCCTGTATTTTAATCGCGATTTTTATAATTTGTAATAAGTGGTAAAACAACGTTTACGGGGTCAGCTAGTCTAATATATAAAATTCTCGTGTCACGGTGTTTATTACCAAACTCCTCCGAAACGGCTTTACCGATTTTTATGATTTTTTGTGTGCATATTGGGTAGTTCTAAGAATATGCCAACATCTATTTTTTATACCCCGCTATGATAGGGGTGACCCATCCTTTTTTTTTTATTTTTGAATTTAATTTTTGAATTTTTTTTTTATTGAAAAATACATACAAATTCAAATTTTCACGCTTTTACAATCAACCCATGTTGTTTAATCTCAATTTTTATATGCCGCAATATGGTTGCAAGATGACAATCGAATACAATAATTGTAGTACGATATATTTTCATGTATAGTTGAACAAAAATAAAGTCGAATCTTGATCTTGAATGTGTTTATTAATTTTGTACAAGAACGTCACAATCGAAAGTGTCAGATAAAAACATTATTTTTCTTTTTTTGTATAAAGGGTCAGCAAAGAGTTCATATAACAATTATTAATTAAACATTCCGCCACCCAAGGACTACTATAGTCCTTCACAATATGTTAACATGTAACACAAAGTGAGATGATAGAAATCAAATTACTACATAACTGTTAGAAAAAATTAACAAATTTTAGTTATTCAGTGGCAGAGGGCACAACTTAGCTACAAGTCTTAAAGAAATTGTTAGCTTAACATTAGAATATATTTAGACCATTTGTACTGGACACTAGAGAGTATGATATATTTGCTACTGTTTGTTGTTTAAAACAAGATATACATTTATTCACAGTACTTGTAACAAGACTTTAAACGAATAATCCAATACCTCTGTCTGACGTAATTTAAAGGTAAGTTGCAAGTAACCATGCAAAGATTTAATATGTGCATCAGAAACAATTAGTTTACATAAATGACATTTGTTACTTAAAATAATATGAGACTATAGATAGTTCGAAACCTCTGCATTCACTAGTCTGCCACCCACTCTTAGTATCTTTTGTTCATCAAGAAACGGATTAAGTGTATATAAAACTTACTTCTTTTGTGAATTTGCTTGTTGTGAGTTAAAGTTTCAATCTCATCTTTAAAATAGCTTGTGACCAACGAGTACATACAAGCAAAACAATTTTTATTTCAGAAGCAGTTAAATAACAATTACAATCCCTTCTAATTGAATTAATTTTGTTTTTACAGCATTGAATAAATGGTTTAAATATTTGTTTATGTAGTCAGTAATATCATTATTTTCAGTGATACAAATGTGAACTTTAACTTTTGTTTTAACTTCTAAGTCTGTTTCAGGAATATCTATATCATTATTTATAATATCATCGGGTTGACTTAGAAAATCAGGGCCGTTCTACCATAGTTTTGACTGTCTCAAATCATTCGGATTTAAACCTCGTAAGCTTAAATTTGCAGGATTATTAAAAGTATCAATATAACGACATTGACTACTATTTGCGATAGTTAAAATTTCTGCTGTTCGATTAGCAACAAATGTTGTCCAAGCACCAGGTGTTTTACGTAACCACGTTAAAACTATAGTAGAATCAGTCCAAGTGAACACACAATTATTTTGTATTCTCAAAACAGTTTTAAGGCTGCTCAACATCTTGGCTAGTATAAATAGCACCACAAGTCGTGGCAATGTAACTTGTTTTACTGAAGCTACACGTGTTTTCGCGAAAACTAAATGAACATTAACATCTTTGGCATTCCAAACTCTGATGTAGACAACAGCAACATAAGCAGCACAAGATGCATCGTTGAAGCCATGTAATTCTAATCTAGTAGTAGTATTTGAAATGCTGAGCCATCTTGGAAAGGGTATTGTATGATTTGCATGTGAGAAAATTTATTTAGGTAAGTGAATCATTCAGTTTTTACTTCTAGTGATAGCTCCTCATCCCAATCCAATGCAGCTAGCCATAATTTCTGCATGAATATTTTAAGAACAATAATAGAAGGTGCTAAACAATCAAGAGGATCAAAGAACTTAGTTATCGCAGAAAAAACAGTTCGTTTAGTGACATTGTGAGATATAAATTGTAAACTTAGTGTTAGTTCAAAGTTGTCAGTTTGTGACTTCCATTTAATACCTAAAGCTTTAATAGCTTTTTCTACTTAATAGTGACTGTACTTAAAGAATCTCTTTTATCGTTCGAAATTGGATTCAATACTAGTTTACTATTAGACGACCATTTGTGCAAAGGAAAGCCACCTCGAGCTAATAATTCAGTTAACCGATTTTGAAGAAATATTGCATTTTCCTCTGTTGACGTACCTGTTAACAAATCGTCCATGTAGAAGTCTTCCTTTACAATTTCAAATTCTTTAGAAAACTCACCACATTCATCTTCAGCAAGTTGGTGCAGTGTACGGATGGCTAAGAAAGGAACACAAGACCAAACGTAGGTTACTGTAAGTAATCTGTCCTCTTCATTAGGAACATTGAGAGATTCACGCCATACGACTCTTTGAAGATCTATATCTTTTTTAGATACAAGTATCTGTCGATGTATCGACTTCTGTATATCTACAAATAAACATATTTTGTGTTGTTTCCATCTTGTAATGAAGTATCGAATATTTTGAAGAAGATGAGGACCGATAAACAATTCATCGTTTATTGATTTTTCAATTGCAGGTTCAACACTACCATCGAAGACTACGCGCAACTTTGTACTCAAGCTCAACGGCCTAAGGACAGCATGGTGAGGTAAGTAGTATATATTTTTATTAGTATTAAGTTCATTTTCAGGAATCATCTCCATATGTTCGTGTGACAGGTATTCATCCATAAAGTTACTATATTGACTTCTAAATTCAGGTTTGTGTAAAAATCTCTTCTCCATCTGTTGCAGACGATTAATAGCCAAGGTTTGTGAATTACCAAGACTTGTGGAAAGAAACTCTTTAAATGGCAAGCAATCTATGTATCGACCATCATCGTTACGTGTGTAAGTATCCTTATAGTGTTTCTCGCATTGTACTTCTGATGTAGACATAGGCTTTTTGTGAGGAACGTGCTCTTCGATCTCCCAAAACTGCCTAAGTAACTGATTCACCTCCAATTTAGTATGAGCTACAGTCACATTGTGAACTTGTGTATCAGTTTGTGAAACGCTTCCAGACAGCAACCAACCCAGGCGAGAGTTAAGAGCAACGCGAGAGTGTTGTGTTTATGTATTCCATCGAGAATTATGTGAGCATGCACATCGGTACCCAATAAAACATCTATAGGACTCGGCTTGTGAAAATCAGGATCAGCTAGATCTAATTGCATTGATGAAGGCCAAGTACCTTGTGGAAATTCTCGAGGCGGTAGTATTGAAGTCAGTTTTCTAAGTACATAAGCGTTAACTTCAATACGTGAAAGTGATGGGTTTTTACAATGAATTGTGAGTGTTACCATAGACTTAGTAGTAACTCCTTGTGAATTGGATATTCCAGTAATTTTACCAATTACAGGTGTGCGATCAAGATTCAACAGTTGTACAGCTGCTTCAGTAATAAAAGAAGCCTGAGAGCCCTGGTCTACAAGTGCCTTGAGAACGTAAGTAGAGCCATTCTTTGCCTTTACTTTAATTTGAGCTGTAGGTAAAATAACTTGTTTATTATTTGTTTCAGGTTTCGTGTTAGCAGTATGACAAGACGTAGAGGGACTCTGTACTGACTCATTTCTCTCAGTTGTAATCTCTGGTTTGTTAAGAGTTGTTAAATGCAGCAAAGTGTGATGACGTCGTCCACATTTTTTACAGGTTGTGCTTTGCCGACATTGTTTCACGGAATGACCCTTAATCAAACAGTTGAAGCAGATGTTGTTCGTTTTTATAAAATATTGACGTTCTGATTTGGTAAGTGTAGCAAATTTCTTACAATGACAAATATAATGGTTCTGTGAACAATATGTGCAAGTACTATTTACTTCAGTAGCGTAAGTTTTGACAGATGTAAATTTTTGTGGTGTGTATATCTTTTTTGACAGTTCTTTGACTTGAGTTGAACTAATCATTTCTAGTGTTCTGAATCTATTCTCCAAGAAAGAAGCTAAATCGGCATAAGTAGGAATCTCAATAGAATTACCAAGAGACTGCTCCCAAAGTTTATGTGATTCGGAGTCTAACTTTCCGACAATGACATATACTAAAATAGCATCCCAGTTAGAAATACATATGTTGAGATTTTTCAACGAGTCAAGACATTGACTAGTAGTGTCTAATAATTCTTTGAGACTTTTAGTTGATTCGCCAGCTAACTTCTTTTGACTTAATAAGCGATTCAGTATGTTGTTGACAATAATCCTCTTGTTGTCGTATCTTTCTTCCAGCTTTTTCCATGCATCGAGATAATTAGCTTCGGTAAGTGTGAAATTCTTTAATAATTCTGCTGCTTCCCCAGTTAAACTAGACTTAAGGTAATGATGCTTTTCAATTTTAGACAAACTGTTATTGTTATGTATTAATGAAATATATAAATCTCGGTAGCTAATCCAATCATTATAATCACCAGAAAATACTGGAAGGGGTATCGGAGGAAGATGTGGTCTCGAGTGTGAAGATGATGCGATGGTGATGGTGTTATCATCATCAGTTTTAATTGATTTTGTTTCATGTTCATACGAGGTCTGTCCGGAAAGTTCGTATAAAAGTGTTCTGGAATGCGAGAAAGAGGAGTGGGGAGGCCAGGTAAGCGCAGGACCCCTTCCTTATGTCCCTAACAATGCTTCAGTTCTGGTCTGACCGCCGTGCGGTGCGAACTGGCTTGTCACGCCATCTGTGAAGTTACCTCTTAACGAAACCCCGTCGGCATGGAGCCCGCTTCCGTTGAAGAGCAGCGCGTCGTAATCAAGTTTCTCTCGAAACTCGGCAAGAATGGCCGTGAAATTTTTGCCGATCTCAGAACAGTTTATGGGGATGATGCTGTGAAGGAACCAACCGTCCACAAGTGGCTAAAAAGATTCAGAGAGGGCCGAGAAAGCGTTCAAGATGACCCACGTTCAGGACGTCCTTCCACTTCACATTCCGACGAAAACGTGGAAAGAATTCGAACTTGTGTTAATGGGGACCGTCGTTTAACGGTCAGACAGGTGGCTGAAGAGCTTAATTTGGGCAAAACCGTGGTCCACGAAATTCTAAGAAACGAACTTCAAATGAAAAAAATTTGCGCCAAGATCGTTCCGTGAGTTTTTGAGTAAAAATTCCATTACGGTGACCGAACACCCCCCCTATTCGCCGGATTTGGCCCCGTGTGACTTCTTCTTGTTCCCAAAAACCAAATTGGTACTTCGGGGGCGGCATTTGGGGGACATAAATGAGATAAAAAAAGCTACGACGGGGCAGCTGAGAAACCTACAACCAGAGGACTTTCAAGGAGCCTTCTCACAGTGGAAACGGCGTTGGCACAAGTGCATTATGTCACAGGGGGAGTACTTTGAAGGGGATAAAATTGATTTACCTGAATAATTGTAAAATAAAATTTTTAAAAAACTTTTATACGTACTTTCCGGACAAACCTCGTATAACCAATCTTTTATCCAGGTCTTGAGATCTAAGTAAGCCTCTTCAGTAGAATTATAATTTTCCTCTAGATCGAGGTTATATGGCTTAACATCCGAATCTGAATATGTAGTTGTAATGTACTCATATTGTTTATTATATGATGACCAGTACTCACATAGCATCTCTAAACGTGCATCCAAATATCCTCTTGTAATCTTAGCTCGAGCGCACTTCTTCGTGTTAGTTAGTAATTTCACAATTTTATTTGAATTGTCCAACAACATTGTAATACGTGATCTAATATCTTCTGTCATTGTGATATGCAAACAACAAAGTCCGATATATATATGTGAAAAAAGTATTGTACACTGAAGTTGTGAATATTTATGCGTTTAGTACTGCACGATATTTATTTACTTAATTATGCGGCTATCGAAGGACCAAATGAACAAAAATAAAGTCGAATCTTGATCTTGAATGTGTTTATTAATTTTGTACAAGAACGTCACAATCGAAAGTGTCAGATAAAAACATTATTTTTCTTTTTTTGTATAAAGGGTCAGCAAAGAGTTCATATAACAATTATTAATTAAACAATAGTTCTAGAAATAATGTATATGGTAAAACAACGTTTACCGAGTCAGCTAGTTATTATTATATAAAACATAGCGTGTAATATAAAACTGTTATGGTCGATGTGAGGTCAGTCAATCACACGTACAGTCTGATTATTTACATCATTACAGATCATTTACTGTCATTATATCGTACTACATATCTGAAAGGAGACAATATCAGAAAGGACACTTGATACGACACGACGAACTTATGAACATCAAATAATAGAAGGTAAGAAGGAAGGAGGCGAAGGGGAGACTAAGGTATAGTTACACCAGGCAGATCAAGGAAGGAGTTGGTGTCGTGTCGTATTAAGAGGTGAAGAGACTCGCTGAAAATCGTAGTGAGTGGCAAGAGCTCCACCGACAAGAGCACAGCTCTTAAATAGGATAGATAGATAGATACTGTATCGTATTAGCAAAATACCGTGCATAATCATGGCCAATCGCTAATTTATAATATTCACAAAGGCTTATTATTTATTAAGGATATTTATTTATTTATTTATTGGCCATATTACAAAAAATATTTAGTACAAAAGGTGGACTTAATGCTATGATAGCATTCTCTCGCAGTCAACCTTTGGCAAAACAGAAATAGTCGAGGGATGGGCAGTAGAGTCCGTTTTAAAACATCAGTAAAGCCTAACTGCGGTTGCCAATCCGCTTGCCAAGCTTGGCAACTATTGGCAAATTTCCCCCTTTTGGGGCAGGCCTATCTTCAGCCGTGGACAGTTAACGGTTGACGTGGTATGATGATAACTAGCTACTACATATTAATTAGTAAAATAATAATAAAACATTGCCCCATAGATAGATAGAGTAGAAATGAATCTATTGATAGGATCGCTATCGGTGGCGAGTTCATGAGACAGAGTGAGATAGCAATATGCGTTGTCCTGTTCTTCCTCATGTGATCTTGACTAAAACGATTCGATCGACAGATTGTCTAGTGGAGTTCGAGAGAAAAGATTGTTAATAACTAGAACTCGTAGGGGGGAAAGGGATTGTTAGTAATGGGAGTCTAATGAAGCCATTGCTAGCAATACCTATTAGGTCGACCTCCACGTGGTTCCCCCTGGAAACCATCGTGAACAATTCTTGTTGAATTCATCACGATGGGCGAACTGATCTGCTTCATCCTCACCTATGATCTCTCACTGGTGTCTCGCCAGTGTATACCGATAGCGCGGGCGGGGTTACCATTCCATTAAATAACCATCAAAAAAAAAACTAGAACTCGTGTTACTCACAAGTCAATTACCATTCATATCATCCATTAAAAAAAAAACTACAAAAGTCGTAGGGTATTTACAAAATACCTCATCGTTTATCGGGCCAGTAAATGAAAAAATATGTATACACAAGTGCCCACATTAAAATGTCTGTCACTAGCAAGATAAGGTGTAATCACTAAATATACGAGGGTGAAGCTGTCATCATTACATTTTTATGCAAATATTAAGCACAAGTCACACAGAGCTAAACTAAGCAAAATTTGGTTGCATAAATTCCTGCGTTGTTTATTGTCCAATTTCTTAATATAAGGGTAGTGCCGACTCTTAAATATAATAACATAATGACTAGTCCGTGGTCACTTGTAAAACAATAGGATTGTTCTCATTGAGTAGGTACCTAAATGAAACATTCGCAAGTTTGTAATATTAACAAGAACCCGAACAATTAATTAAGTATGTTTGCGTTTACAAAGCGAATCCAAACCAGCCCGCTTATGACAACATATCTTCGAAACAATGCACTTTAATGCAATGAATTGTTGTGGCGGTCAGGCGCAGGCATGCCTACAGTACAACGACAGTAACGCAGTAGTTTTGCAGGTTTTGCTTTTTTTTGTTAACTAAATTTATTTCAATCAGTAAGCATGTCTTCACGAAGCACTTCATTTTAACTTGTTGCTTTCGTAAAACTGGCTTAGTATTTTAATTTAATTTATATTTGTAAATCACAGTGTTTTGGCAATCTCTTATGGACTCCCGCGATACAGGTTCGCTTAGTGCGGGGTCCAATGTACTCTCTGTTGTAAATTTTTTGTGTTTAATAAATAAATAAATAAAAGTATATAATTCAAATTTAGAATCCAGATTTTTCCTTTGTTTTTTCGTAGAAACTAGATTGTTTATAAGAGATTAAGCCGCATAGCTTTGTACCTTTGCCTTTTGCACTGTGAACAAATCGTCATAGTCGTAGAATACTGACAGACCTGACAAATATTACATATATAGATCCGTCAGTATTCTACGACTATGACGAAATAGTGGTGTAATAGTTTAATTATTCATCATACAAGGGGTTCGATTCCCAAACAATAACGTTTGTATTCATAAGTATGTCTTTTTGTGTTTACCATTTTTTTTTTTAACAATTTCGCAAAAGATCATGATCGCGCCATGTTTGTTACATAGAAATCCGCCCCCGGGCCCCGGCACCTACCGATCAAACCGGATTTATTACAATTCACTTCAACAAAAACTACTACGATCGACGCGTGTACAGGCCGCTTATTCATTACCAATTACGTCACAGCGCGGCACGGCAGCATTTTTATAGGTATTCGACGCGTTGACTGACGGTCATTCACTTTAAGAGTACATGTTTATAGAATTCTGCATGTGGATACATTGTAATACCTAACTACTTAGTGCACAGTTATTGGTTATATTTACTGAAATAACCTCCGTGGCGATTGGCAAATTTCGTAAATATATAAATAATAAAAGAGAGAGATATTAAGTAAGAATATTTTTTCTTATACCACTATGGTAAGTGGCTACCGTAGCCCATAAACGCCTGCATTATCAGGGGCATTACGCATGCGTTGACGACCTTAAAAAATCCTGTTTACCTTCGTATCTTTTTGGGGATTGTTAATAACGCGAACTACCAGCCCCATTTGCTGCCAAGTCGACATCCCCGCGGTCCTCACTGGAAACCATCGTGCTGAATTCAAAGTGTATTCATCACGATGGGCTAACTAATCTACCCTTTCATTTCACCTATCAACCCTCACTGGTGCCCCGCCAGCGTATCCCGTTAGCGCAGGCGGGGTTACCATTCCATTATCATCCATTAAAAATAAAAGCTTTAACCCTTTTTGAGAGGGGAAAGGGAGTGTTAGTAATGGAGACTGAGAATCCCATTGCTAGCAATATACCCAACCAGGTCGACCTCCTCGCGGTTCCCCCTGGAAACTATCATGGTTAATTTCTGATGAATTCATCGTGATGGGCTAACTGGCCCGTTTTCATTTTCATCTATCTCCCTTCACTGGTGCTCCGCCAGCGTATCCCGAAAGCGCAGGCGGGGTTACTATACCATTTTTACCCATAAAAAAAACCCTTTTTTGAAGAACCCCATGCTGTAGTCAGAAATCAAAATCAAAGTCTTGAAAAATCAGGCGAGAAAAGATAAAAAAAAAAGACAGAAAAGAGACGTCTTGTCTTCTTATAAAAAAAAAAAAAGTTGGATTGTACACATTAATTTGAAAATGGAATTATATTACTACCAAATCACTACGATAACTCGCAAACTAGCGGGCTACTAGTAAGAAGTGACAGATGAGAATGAAATCAGATCAGTTGGCAGGTAGTGACGAATCGAACACGATGGTTTCCAGGAGCACAACGAGGAAGTCAGGATTTTACGAGTAAATTATACATGTAACAATGGAGCCAATATTTTTTTTTTTATGAAATCTAGAACGGCAAACAAGCTGACAACCATCCTGATGGAACGCGCAGGACGCACAGGAACGGTAACCGTCGCCTATAAACCTGAACATCATAGAATCATGATTATACCAGTTATTGTTTGCCCATTCCTAAACATAAGCCTCCCCCTATTAGTTGGTTTTGCCAGTAGTTGTGTAATATACAGATAAATAACTACAGTGATGGAAAATTACGTATTGTTCGTTCACAGCGAACAAAGAATATTGTTATATGATAAATATGTTAGAAGAAAGTATCTTAACTAAATAGAGCGATTACAGCTTTGCTTGCTATTGATTAAATAATGAGTTATTATAAACTTTGGATATTTACCTAATGATCACTATGCTAACATATGTTTGTAATCTTATATAAGGACCTCCCACCCTTAAGAAATTCAGTTGTTGTTATTGTTGTTGTCCAGTTGCAGTTGCTCTACAATTACTGAGCTGTTCAGTAGCTATTATCATAGTGCTAATCTCTAGTCTAAGTCAATTTTATACTCTTTATTAAAACTTATAAATATTCTTCGGCGATCTTTTCTTCTGACGACCCGAACATTACAAATTGGTGTCAGAAGTGACGGATTTCGTATCCTGATAATAAAATTCAACGGGTCAACCAAGGAAACATCGACAAGCAGATCGTAACCACATTGGTACGTGTTTGTACGAAATACCTTAGAAGCAAGACGCACAACGAAGTAAAAATCAAATTCGAGTCAGTAGTCGAGACACATTTACCCTCGATACTCGTCTAAGATTTGTTTAAGAAGAGTGAAATTGGAGTTCTTCAAAGATTATTTCATCTTTACTCATCCAAGACTTAGAAGATAGCACAGCACTGCACCAGCGGTTCTTCGTTATACCTTGGCAGTTACTACCACGGCGTGACTACGAGCCCTACAACGAAGTAACAAGCAAAAGGAACATCTCCGCAATATAAAACTAGACAAGTAAGTTATATTGTGTATTTAAAATTTATGTAACATTTTGAAAGTTATAAAATATTTTAAGTTATAAAAAATAATTAAAGTTAAATATTTTTGTAAAAATGTCTACTTCAGAAGATATTAAAAATAATGGATTTATCGATATTAGTCTGGCAGAAAGAATGATACAAAGATATAATGGTGATAAGGCAAATTTGCATGTTTTTATTGATAACTGTAATAATGCGTATAATTTATTAAATCCAATATACAGAATTGCGTTTGTGTCAGTAGTGTTATCGAAAATAGAAGGAAATATTAGGTCGACATTATTAAACCGAACATTTAATTCATGGGATGCTCTGAGAGAACATCTATTAGAAAATTATTCCGAAAAACGAACATTTGCACAATGGCAATTAGAATTAAATTCATGTAAACAAGGACATAATGAGCCAGTTTTAAATTATTCAAATAGAGTTGAAAATTGTTTCATTAAATTAATTAAATCACTTAATCCAAAATTAACAAAGGAAGCGCGAGAGGCAAATATAGACTTATTGAAAAGTCAAGCATTAAATATTTTTATAAGTGGTCTCATACCTCAATTACATATATTATTAAAATCACAAAAACCTTCCAACTTTGAGGAAGCCGTGTCTATAGCCATATCTGAAGAGCAAGAAATAAAATCGCGTCAAGAAATGAGCTCAAAACATTTTGAAATTAATAAAACAAAGCGTTGTTCGAATTGCCATATGTTAGGACATTTATCATTTCAGTGTAGAAAACAACCCATGATTAGGTCCGTTCAAACCAATAGAATACCTACATGTTTCAATTGTAATAAGAAAGGACATGTGTCACGAGATTGTTGGTTCAACAAACCAAATTCTAATAATTTTAATAATTTCAAACAAAATACTCAGTTTAACAACAAACCGACACGTTATCAACATAATTATAATAATCAACGACCAAATTCTTATAATAATAAATTTCGTGGTACAAATAATGTAAACAACGCGTCCGATACTTTAAACTCCAAAGGTCCCAGGATGCCGGTCGATCCCAGGACAACCAATTAAAATCAGGCCGAGTTATGTCGATTAATACTGGTGGTTCGTCGTATGTTAATTTAAGAGTAAAAGAATTAAAAAGAGAAGAAGGAAAATTTTTAATAGATACTGGTGCTGAAGTCACCCTAATAAAAAATAAAGCTTTAAAAGAAAGCACAATGATTTATGAAGATAAAAAATTAAAATTAAGCGGTATAGATAATGATGCGGATCCTACAGAAACTATAGGCTATACATACTTAACGTTTTACTTAGGAGAAAAAAGAGTTTGTCATACCATCTCGGTGGTGCCCGACAGCTTTCCTATAGACTACGAAGGTGTTATTGGCAGCGATTTTCTGCAGGCAACGAATGCCGTAATCAATTATCAGAATGGTCAAATAAAATTGTTACAAGAATGTTTAGAAATAGAACAATATAATAAAATGATTAAGGAGGACTATTATGAATCAGATATTGAGAGTAATTGCGACTTTATAAAATCTCCTATTCGAGATGAATTTTTATGTGAAAAAATAAATACTAAAATGAGTAAAATTAAAAATAAACAGAAAAAAGGAACGCAAGTTAATCAAAGCGAAGAAATAATATTTGAAAGGAAATTAAATGAGAAGATTATTCAATCAAATGAAAATGAAGAAGATTATATAATTATTGAACCAAGATGTGAAAAGGTTATTTCTGTAAATATAATAAATTCTAATTTAAAAGAGGGAATTATTCCAGAAAATGTAGAGCTATGTAAAGGTGTATATTTATGTCCAAGTATTGTTAAAATCAAAGAAAAGAAAGCGATAACCATGTGTTTAAACACAACAGATAAAACTATTAAGATAAAAAGAGTGCATGTTCAATTGGAACCATTAACGAGAAATGAAGATAACGAAACGACAAAAATAAATAGAATAAATGAGAAAATAAATTATAGTAGTAATCGTTTAAATAAATTAGAACAGTCATTAAGATTAGATCATTTAAATAATGAGGAAAGGAAAAGTATTGTTAATATGTGTAAAGAATATAATCACATATTTTATTTAGATGGTGATAAATTGTCAGCAACAAACACAATTAGGCACGAAATACCAACAAAGGATTCGTCGCCAGTAAATACAAAGTCTTATAGATATCCTGAAGCATTGAAAGATGAAGTAAATAATCAAATTAATAAACTTTTAGAAAATGAAATAATTAAACCCTCATCCAGCCCTTGGAACTCTCCAGTATGGGTAGTCTCTAAGAAGATGGATGCATCTGGAAAGAAAAAATGGAGGCTTGTTATAGATTTTAGAAAATTGAATGAAATTAGTACTAGCGATGTATATCCATTACCTCAAATAAACGATATATTAGACCAATTAGGTCACAGTAAATACTTTACTACGTTAGATTTAGCATCAGGGTTTCATCAAATCGAAATGCATCCTGATGATCAAGCAAAAACAGCTTTTAGTGTACCTCTAGGACATTATGAATATACTAGAATGCCATTTGGATTAAAAAATGCGCCAGCAACGTTTCAGCGGTTGATGAATAATATATTGACAGGATTACAAGGTTTAAAATGCTTCGTTTATTTAGACGATATAGTTATTTATGGAAGTTCACTGGAAGATCATAATTTAAAATTAAAGGAAGTATTTGATAGGCTTTCACAACATAACCTAAAATTACAACCAGATAAATGTAATTTCTTAAAAACTGAAGTAATGTATTTAGGACATCAAATCACTCAATATGGAGTTAAACCAGATCCAAAAAAGATTGAAGCTGTAAAAAATTATCCAGTTCCTGAATCACCTAAAGAAATTAAAAGCTTTTAGGCTTAGCAGGTTATTATAGACGATTTATTGAGAATTTTAGCCAAATAACGCAACCTTTAACAAAATTATTGAAGAAAGATGAACCATTCATATGGACAAGCTTACAACAGAATTCATTTGAAACTTTAATAAATAAATTATGTGAAGAACCTATTCTTCAATACCCTAATTTTTCAGATACATTTAATCTTACTACCGATGCAAGTAACTATGCCATAGGCAGCGTTTTATCACAAGGTCCACCTAATAAAGATCTCCCTATAGCTTATGCTAGCCGAACGTTAAATAAAGCTGAAATTAATTATTCCACTACGGAGAAGGAACTTCTTGCGATAGTATGGTCAGTAAAGCATTTTCGTCCATATTTATACGGTCGAAAGTTTAAAATTATAACCGATCATAAACCCCTCGTATGGCTCTTTAATGTAAAAGATCCAGGGTCAAGATTAGTAAGATGGCGGTTACTCCTTGAAGAATACGAGTATGAAATTGTTTACAAACAAGGAAAATTAAATTATAATGCAGATGCTTTAAGCAGAATACGTCCGAAGGAAAACGTAAAGTTACAAATTACCACTAGAAATCGTGAAACTTATTCATCATTTTTAAAAGAAATCGAAAGAAGACCTATTTTGTCAAATAATTTAGAAGAATATAATGAACCTATTTCAAATAAAAGTAATAAGGTAATATTTTCATCGTGTAATTTAGATATTTTAAATGAAAAACACCTCCTGGAATATAAAACAGAAGTTGAGAAAATCAGAACAAACAACCCTACACAGTATGACGTCATAGATTCACAAGACTCACAGAAAAATTCTTTGTACTTTGTTTTCCCTAAAAATAATTACTGGGATAAAGTAACATATGAAGATTTGTTTGAATGTCTGAAGAACCTGAAAATTAAATTATGTGAAAAGAATGCTAATGAAGTAAATTTTGAAAACTTTTCATGTTTCCATTTAAAGTTTCATAAAATAAGAACTATGCTAAGATATTTATTTAGAGACACAAATATAAAAATAAATGTATTTCATAACAGAATTATAACTCCAAAGCAAGAGGATATACCTAGAATTTTGGATGAAAATCATACTAACCCAATTTCTGGACATATAGGTTTTCATAAAACCTATAGGAAAATTAAAACTAATTACACTTGGAATACAATGAAAAAAGACATCAAAGAGTATATAAAAAGATGTAAGTCATGTCAAGAAAATAAATTAGAAAGAAGAAAGAAAAAACAACCCATGGAAATTACATCTACATCTACAGAAGCATTTGAAAGGATTGCATTAGATATAGTAGGACCTTTACCGGTTACTGAAAGCGGAAACAAATATATTCTCACACTTCAAGATGATTTAACTAAGTTTTCTCAAGCATATCCATTAAAACAACATGATTCCGAAACAATAGCAGATTGTTTTGTTCACAATTTTATTTGCAAATTTGGAATTCCTGATGTGTTATTAACAGATAGAGGTGCCGATTTTACTTCGACGTTAATGAAAGATATATCAAAATTATTTAAAATAAAGAAAATAAACACGACGGCATATCACCCACAATCCAACGGTGCGCTAGAAAGAAGTCATGCCACGTTAGCTGATTATTTAAAACATTATGTTAATGAAGACCAATCAAATTGGGATAAATGGATAGATTTTGCCATGTTTTCTTATAATACTAATATTCACACCTCAACACAGTTTACACCTTTTGAACTTATTTTTGGAAATAAAGCGAAACTACCAACGTCAATAGTAAAAACCCCAGAATTCAAATATTGTTATAGTGATTATTTAGATGAATTAATGTTGAAACTTAGAAAATCCAGACAGTTAGCACGAGAAAAATTAATAAAGTCCAAGTTAAATAACAAAGAAATATACGATGCGAACAGTAAAAGAATAGAATATAAAGTAGGAGATTTAGTGTATTTAAGTAATGAACAAGTAAAACCCGGAAAGTCAAAGAAGTTATCACCATACTATTTAGGACCATATGAAATAATTGAAATAAATTCTCCAGTAAATGTTACTATTAAAATAAAGAAAAATAAAAAGAGAGTTCATACCAATAGATTGAAACACGCGTTTGTTTCGGAATGAACACCATGATTGGAGTTTTGAAGATGCTCATTATCATCTACGGATGTAACGCAAATAGGTTAAGTTCGTATAATATTACTAATATAGATAAAGGCGGAATATATTTTGAACATTTAGGTAAAGTCAACCATTACGATAGCGAATGGAATATGATTAGTTATTTGGATATTTCTGAAATACATCAAAAGATTGATTTAATAGATAACACTTATAGTAAAACAAAAGAATTATGTAATCATCAAAAGTTTAATAATTTTTCTCTTTGTGAAACATCATTTACAGTACTAGATCAAATTATACCTCAACTCTATAGTCAAGAAAACATTTTAAAGGAATTAACTGGTAGAACAAATACAGTTCATCGAGTAAAACGATCTTACATTGATGGTATTGGAAAAATATTTAAGGTTCTTTTTGGTACTTTAGATTCTGAAGATGCCGAACGATATGACGAGGCTATTAACAATTTAGATTCTCATGAACACGACATATTAAGTTTATTAAAGACTCAAACTAATGTTGTTAAAAGTACTCTTTCAAATTTTAATAATACTCTTACAGATTTGTATTCTAATGAAAAAATTTTCAATAAAAATTTAGATATTCTCTCTAATTATACAAAAAGAGTAAACACGATAATTTTTGATATAAATTTAAAATAAGATATTGATGAACATTTGTCATTGTTAACCTTAATTACTACAAAAATAAGTAATGAAATATCAACCATCATAAACGCAATCCTGTTTTCAAAAAATAATGCATTACACCCATTAATTATAACACCTGAACAGTATATTACAGAACTCAGAAAAACTGTACCATATTTGCCATTACAAACTAAATATCCCTTAAGTCTTTCAATTAGTGAAGCTTCTGAATTATTGTCATTAGTAGACTTAGTTTCATATTACATGAATGGTAAACTTGTATTTTTAATTAAAACCCCTTTAATAACACAAACTAATTATGAATTGTATAATGTTGTTCCTGTACCCATTAGAAATAATGATAATACATTTGTATTCATTTTGCCCAAAGAAAAATATTTCATTATATCCAGTAATAAAATGCA